GATCTCCCTGACTCAGCCTCCCAAGTAGCTAGAATTACAGGTCTGAACCATAGTGCCTAGCTTCACAAGAGTTTTTTTTCCCCATAATTTTATTGAGAAATAAATAGCAATGCGACAGTTTCAAATCAAATTGGTAGGACAGTTCCAATAATTAACACATTGCATATTGCCTTCCTAGTGGTTATTTGTTGTACAAGATGCAGACATGACATCCTATTTACAAACACCATTAGATCAAATCCTTCTATTCCTTGAATTAAGAGAATGTAGTTATATATCTATCCTAACCATTTTGAATACACAGATACAAAATGGTCATTCATCTATATCCCCCTTTTTTCTTTGATTCCATCATTTAAATATTATAGGTGTGTGAACTCAGCAAAATATTCCAAAATAGTCCAGTAGTCCATAATAGTATTGGGTCTTCCAAGAGCTCTTTGTTCAACCTGTAAAATGTCTGCACTAGCTTTAAGTTACTGCTCTTCTGCAAATACCGCACCTATCTACAGAACTATTTATACAAAAACAAATGGAAAGGCCAAATAGCTCAGTGGATTAAAACAGGGCTCCAGGGTTCCCCATCCCTAGGCACCCTGAAATGGCAATTGAGACTGGATGTGGTAGTGCATCCTGTAATCCTAGCTCTTAGGAGGCTGTAAACTGGCCGATCACAAGTCTGACCTAGTAGTGAGACTCTGAACACCTTGTAGACCCTTCCCTAAAAATTAAAAAAAAAAATTTAACCTTTTCAGAGATATTGAGAAGTCACATTTTATTTTATCCTTACTAAATATTAGTAGTAGCAAAAAGTTTAATGACTAAAAACTGTCAGGAAGTGGAGCATAGTGGCCCATGCCTATTAATCCCAGCACTGGGGATACTGAGGAGGAAGAATGACTCTAGTTGAAGGCTTATCTGGGCTACACTTCAAAGGTAGGCCCAACTATAAGGGGCCTTTTTATTCTCAAAAATGAATAAGCCATCAGGAAGGGAGAATGGGGAAGGAGAAGGGACGGGGGAAATAGGAGAAAGCTGAAGGTATGTAGCTCAGTGGTATAGCATGTACTTAGTAAATGTGATAATCTCAGTTCAACTCTCAGCACAAATAAATATTCTGTGACTTCCATTATTAAATGATTCTAAACCAGATCATTCCACCTCAGCATCACCAACGTAATTGGCCATATAATTGTTCTCATGGGGAGCTCTTCTGCATATTATAAGCTTTTGCTCAATGATGGGGAGAAAGGCTGAAGAGAGTAGAGAAATGGGGAAAAAAAATCAAAATATATCATGTATAGGTACAAATTCCCTATGACAAATGTGATCACTACATCTAAAAACTACCAATAAATTAAAAAAAAAAATTATAGGCCAACCAAATACCACAGCAGATTAAAGAGCCTGCAAGCAGGCTCAGGGGCTGGGGGTTCAATACCCTGGCCTGCCCTGCCGGCCCCACCCATAGGGCACACTGAGGTTGCAACTGAGACTGGGCCTGGTGGTGCAGGCCTGTAATCCCAGCTCTTGGAAGACTAAACAAGAAAATCACTACAAGTCTGACCTAGTAGTGAGACCCTGAACACCCTGTAGACCCTCCCCTAAAATACAAAAAAATAAAGAAGGAAAGTCTTATTTTGTAAATTCAATTTTCAACTAACAAATCTTTACTATTCCTACATATAAACACATGTTAGGGTGCTACATGAGAAAGAGTATCCCAAAGGAACAGACAATACCAGCATTTCATCCTATTTCACACTGCTACAGAAAAAAAAAAAAAAAATGTTCATCAACAGAAGGAAAAGCAATGATTGTTCTGACCCATAAACTAGCCACATATGGCCTTAATTTACTATACCACCCAGTCTGGTCCTGAACTTGCTGTGATCCTCCAGCATCAGTCACTAAGATGCTGGAATTCAAAGGCCAAAGATGTGTGCCTAAATTAAGGACAAATAAAATTTCAAATTGCACTATCCATTTTAAGCATTCAAGTCACATATGAGAGGAAAACGTGTATTTTTTTAAATCAGCTGGTTACATCTGTAATTTCAGCTTTTTAGGAGCCTTGGGCAGGAGAATGACAAGTCTGAACCCGACATGGGCAACATAACAAAACCCCACCTTCAAACAAAAAAATTGTAAAAGGCGCTGGGTATGTAGCTCAGTGTGAGAGGTACGGGTTCAGCATCCAGCACTGGGAGGAAAAGTCATCATGCTAGTGGCATTCTACAGTGCAGATACACATCATTCCCATCCTTAAAGTCAGTACTATTGAACAGTACTGATATGGTCAGGATAAAAACAAATGTCAATTACTAATATCCCTAAAAGATATGAAAGATTTTCCCATTCAATAAAATACTTGATTTTCAGATGCAAAACTTTCAAGAGAGGGAAATGCTACCCCTCCTGATCCAAAATGCCAAATTCAGATCCCTGTTCTCCAGAATGACAATTTCAGAAAAAGTGCCAGAAGCTGAGGATCATGAAACTATTACATAAAATCATTTTGGAAAGTTTATCAAAAGTTGCTTATAAATATCTATTGTAGAAACCTAATTTCTTTTTTTTTTTTTTTTCTGAGACAGGGTCTCATTATGTACTTCAAGCAGGCCAGAGCTCACTATGTAGCACAAACTGGATTTGAACTCAACTATGATCCTGCCTCAGCCACCAAAGTCCTGGGGTTATGTGCATGCACCACCACATCTGGCAAAACATAATGTCTTTTAAGATAATTATTTGCATTTTTTCACCTCTTGTGGCACTGGGGATGGAACTCAGAGCCTTAGGCACGTTAGGCAAGGGTTCCACCACTGAGCTACACCCCTGGCCCAACTTCTGCATTTACATTGAAAGTCTTACTGGTTATGGATATTTCAGTGGCTTTTTGGTAAGGCCAAACTAATAAGCAAGGCATGATAATATTAATGTATTGTAAACCATGTATGTACCTGATACACATACCATGGAGATGAACAACAACAAAAAGTCTTACAGGTTACTTAAATTAAATTCTGGGGTGGGGGGAAGAGATGTCTCAGTGGAATAAGCGCTTCCCTGGCAAGCGGAAGGGCCTGAGTTCAATCCCTGGTTCCTCAAAAAAAATAAATAAATAAATAAATAAATAAATAAATAAATAAATTCTAAGGGCTGAGGAAATGGCTGAGTAGAGTAAGCGCTTGCCTGGCAAATGCAAGGCCCTGAGTTCAATCCCCGGTTCTGCCAAAATTAATTAATTAATTAATTCTGAACAAAGTCCTACTGGCTCATTATCAATATTTCTGAATATTCATCCCTCACTTAAGATATTGAGGTATGCCCCCCAAATACAGTACCAATTAATTACAATCAATTTCCTGTACATTTTAAGTTTTTGCACTGCCCATAATTGAAAAAAACTGATTTTGAAATTCCAAATTCCAATAAGGAAGCTTCCACGAGCTGCAATGACTAACAATTTTGCACGTCTAACTAAAAAGATAAAAGAAAAATTAATCACTTCTATAGGTAAAAAACATCCCGCTAGAATGGACTGGTGGCCCACTCAAGGTCAGTCTGGGCTATATCCAGAAGCCTGAACTACACATTCACAGAAAAAATCCCAAGGAAAATACTTACTGGAAAATACCCAATAACGAAATATGAATTACAGTAATGACATAACCCTGACATCAAAGCACACAGGAAAACCTAAGTATCCTGTCCTATGAGTAAAACTGTCTAAATGTTGCAAGATACGAGATTCAATTTTGGTTCAAGTTATTGGAAAGCCTGTCAAAATTTGAGGGGCCGAGGAGATGGCTCAGTGGAATAAGCGCTTCTCTGGCAAGCGCATGGGCCTGGGTTCAATCCCTGGTTCCGGAAAAAAAAAAAAAAAAAATTTGATTCCAAGATGCATATTTTGTGACAAGAACAGGTCATTCTCTCTCCGCGCCAACTATGCAGAACGTTGCTCAGACATATTTGACACCTTCTAACAATTCCACACAACCCCGCGCTGTACTTCCCAGTATTCCTGGAGCACACCTAGGACACAGCGAAGTTCAGGGTAAATGGGGGTGTGCTCAGGGCAAACGGTTGGGGTCTACAGTTAAGTGATTGCCAATCCGGTGACAGGCAAGGAGATCCTCGAGGTCATTCCTCAGAAGTCTCTAGGACCGTACTCGTGGTGAGGAGACCAGCTTCCGTTCCAACTTCAGCTCCGTTTCAGTGGCTCTGCACACAATTTAGCCTTAAAGCATTGGCTCCCCCCCGGCCCCCGAGACTCACCAGGCGGATGAAGCCGAAGCCGCGGTCCCGGTTGATGAAAACCTCGCTAGGCTCCCCATAGCGCTCGAAAAGCCGCTTGAAGTCCTCCTCAGTGATGTCGGTGGGCAGGTTCCCCACGAACAGGCGGCAGCGCTGCGTGTACGTCTTCTCGCCCGGCTTGAGGAAGCTCTTGATGTCGATGGTGAACCCCATCTCCTCCTCCGGGCGGTCCTCCGGGGCGGCGGGGGCGGGCGGTGCCTGCTCTCCCGCCAGCGCCAGCGCCATGGCCGAGGGTTCGCTGTCGCCCGCTGCGGACTCAAGCGCGCGAAGGCGGGCCGGGTTCTTCTCAATGCGCACTTGCTTGAGATTTCCTCTCAACATCATCTCCGTGAACTAGCCTTGGTACCAGGCACAGGCCTAGACTTATATGGCAGCGTCTCTGCGTGTACCTATGGAAACGAAGGACGGACAGCCAGCACTGTAGGCCAGGTGGCCTAAAAGCAGCGTTGCTTCTCAGACACACAGGGACAGCAGCCGCACATTCAAAATGGCGCCGCCACCAGCCAAAGTTGGAAGAGACGCCGACGTTAGCCCCGCCCCTCCGCAGAGGCCGGCGCTGCGCCTGCGCACGCTCTGCGCCAACGGCCTTTCGGCTGACTTTGCGTCTTTGCCCAGCGTGTGTGCCGTACCGTTCAGGCCTCCTGCAAGGGCGGGGGCTGCAGCTTCCCGTCCTCCTGTCGTGGTGGGCGAATGGGCTGAGTTCTGTGATGCAGCCAGCAGTGGGTGCAAAGACAAATGATTTGGAGAACATGTTT